CCTGTGAAAAACGAACTCACCTGTCCAGAATCAAAGGACGGACACAGAGACGGGAGTGGAGTGCAGCAGAAGTGAGACTTTAATGACGGTTTAACAAGACTGGGTGTCTGGTGGGCAGGCACGGCGAAGCAGGAAGAACCAGCACTTTTGTTCCTAAAATGCACGTCCCTCTCCCGGTTCCTCATTGGAGGAAGACCTGCAGAAGTTACACGCTCTGCCGTAGGGCGCCTCCATGTTACATGTTGACTGGTTTTGCAGAATTGTCTCATTTACATGTCCTACTTGCCGACTGGCTTACAGGGTTGCTACACTGCTTGGATTCTGCCAAAAGTTTAATCATGTAGCCCACCAAAGTAAAAAGTCCGCGAAAAGAAAGCACAAAGAATCAGTAAGTGAATCCACAAAAGAGAAACACAAAGCGCTTAGACACCATCTTGAGACCCCAAGATAAACCAGGCTCCAATTTGAAAGTGAATCACCATTCTTGTTTCTCATGCACTTGACTGAAATGACCTCTGCAAAATGGGTGTGATGCTGGGAGTGTGTCGGCCTGGTGACCGGGCCTTCTCCTGCCTGTGGCTCCGGAGGCGTGACCTTCACCTCACCCTGAACCTCAGTGGCCACGTCACCTGGCGTCCCTGCACCCTGAGGCCCCCTGTGCACGTGGGGCTGACACCACTCGCGCAATCGTGGCTGGTGTGGGGTGGGTGGGACCGAAAACACCTGCCAAGGGATGAAACCGCAGCCGGTTCAGTTAAGATCTCGATTGTCCGTGCCGGACTCTAGGACCAGTGGCAGCTCATCCCATAACTCAAACCGAGTGCCCATGAGCTGGGCGGAGGGGTGGCTGTATACACAGAAGGGGCCCAGCAGACAGCGGTCGGGGTCGAAATGACGGGCGGCCTCGGCATTTCCCTCCCGTAAGGCGGGTGGGGGATGGAGACATGGCGGATAGCTCGCACAAGATGACGTCAGGCCACTCTGTCGTGAGGACCAGGGTAGAGGGAGCCTCGTTCTGTGCTGCTGAAGAGGGAAACCGGCCGGTCTGGGAGGCTGGCTGTGACCTCTCTTTCCGGATTTCGCGGAAGGTCACGTAGCAATGCCGTTTCCCTTGGGGAGCATGGAGGCTCCGTTCTGGTTTCCAGTCTGGTCTGTTTTTAGTCTGAGACAATGGCTTCCTATAATTTTTATTCAACGTACGAGTGCCTGGGGTGAAGCAGGTATGCTGGCCTAAACTGGAGAGCGGGGGGCTGGCAGGCCAGGCAGCCCTGGGAATCGGGGTCTGGAGACATCCCCTGGGAGCCTCATGCGGTGTCAGCGCCCCTTCCAGGGGGCTTCCAGAAGGTTCTGAGGTGGCTGCGCCCACTGGCCTCAGCCACACCTGGGAGTCCGAGGGCTCCCGGCCCGTGCTGGCTTGGTTTTGTCGACCCACAGCAGGTCCTCGGTGCCACCTCTGCAGCTGGAGTGACTTTTCCCTGGTGCCTGCTTCACTCCAGCTGCTTTTTGCATGGGGCCTCAGATTCTAAAATGTGTTAGCATTTGCTTTCCGAGCTCAGAAAAAGGACAGAGCATCTAGTGAGCTGCGGGAATGAGTTGCCGGCTTGTGGCACAAAGTCTTTATGTCTAACCCAAGAGCAAATGACTTGGAGGGAATATGAGGGGTTAAAAAAATAATGAAAAAGAAAAAGAAATGTCCCCAGAAACATGCTGGTAGAGGGGAAATAGATTAATAATAAAATAAAATCCTTGGGGTTTAATATGAGTGAGAATTCTGCCAACCTAGTCAGTATAAATCTCAAACATCCTGAATGGCTCGACCAAACAGATCCCTTAACACTTATTACAAATGAGAGCGTCGATGTCCGTGGCTGGGTTGTCCCTGCCTTCTACCCCAACCTGTAGGGCCGGAGGGCGAGGCCTTCTGAGCCTGTGGCCTGGGCCTCCAGCATCCTGGGTGAAGGGTAACTCCACTCCCTGCTGCTGCCGTTGTTCCTGACGCCCCCTCCCTTCCCGTGACCGCTGCTCCCGTCTGGAGATTCTTGTGGAGGGGCTTGGCGGGGAGGGTCACCCACCCCAGAGCTGCTGACCCAGGCCTATTTACCCTTGACCTTGGACTCTGAAGAGGCATCACTGTTCTATATGCTGGAGAGAGGCGAAAGCCTTGGGGAATGGGCTTCCCGCCAGATGGAAATAAAAGGAGCAATTAGCAGGTCACAGACTCCACTCCACGCCTTGGGCTCCTCCAACAGCTGCTTTGTGGAGAGCCCTGCCCTCTGTTCCCTTTGCAGGGTGCCCAGGGCTCTGTCCACAGACTCTCCAGTCCACTCAGGGCCACCCTGGGATGGTGCAACCCCTGTGAATAGACTTCTGGGGTCCCCACCCTCTTGCCTCCTCTGCCTTAGACCTCCTCTCCTCTGCCCACTTGCAAAGCAGGGGCTCAAAATGCCCCCCGAGTGGGCAGGAGGTCACGAGACACCACCCAGACATCCTGCTGCCCGGTTTCCGGGAGGAGGGTCCTGCCATAAAGTGAGGGAGTCTGCAAGAGGAAGTCTGCTGCCTTCTGGTCTGAATCTGTCAGACAGCAACTCTTGAGACGGACGGGCAGCCCCGCCTCCCTGGACTTTAGAAGTACTGCCCACGCCAGCCAGGATTCGGGGTGCCTACCGTGTGTGGAGAAAGCACAGCAGTTGGGGTGTCCCCTGGGCATCAGGTGAGCCGAGGGGCGCCCCCCCACCTGCGGGAGATTGTGGCATGGCGTCCCCTGTTGAGGTGGACAGGAGCAGCCTTCCTGACGCTTCTGGAGCCGGTGCCTGGGTGGGGCAGTGTCAGGCCTGGGCATCCCTCGCTGACCGCCCCTGCCCCTCCACCCTGATGCGTGGGGACGCGAAGGAATGACCCACGAAGCAGGGGAAGCAGATTGAGTGTGTCCCCTCCCACCCAGGCCTTCCTGACACTCCACTCTCAGGTCTCTCCTGGGGTCAGGAATGCATCTGTGCCTCTTGGTGTGCTCGCACAGAGACCCACGGAGGGCGCTGGGCCGGTCTGGCCTTGGGTGTTGGGTTAGGGTTGGGGGACCGCTTCCTGCCCCAGGACACCTGCTGGCACGGAGGTTCTCTGCAGGCAGCGTGGGCCTGCATCACCTTCAGAGACCCGTCACCTGAACCGGCGCCGCTCATGGTGCATGTCTTAGTCCTGTGGCCCAAAATTAAATAGGTTGGGAAACGACCTTTAGGAAGGTATCATGACAGCATGCAGAATTGTCCCGTCACTCTTGAGAGGCCGTGAAACATCAGAACGAATGAGAAGCTATAGTTGTCAATGGAAGAGGTGCCGACGCCCAGGACACCCCAGGCCCGCTGGCCGCGGAGGGCGTCCCTGCACAACTGAGAGCAGACTTGGCCGCGTCCTCAGCCCTCTCCATCTCACGAGGAGCTTCGAGCGAGCCCTGAGGACATGACGATCTGGGAGCCGATTTGAGCTCAGCCCGCGTGGTTTCTCTTCGTGCTCTGTGGACGGAAGAGCCTGTTTTCCAAACCTGCCATGAGGCATCCGATCTCAGGCGCCGCTTCTAGAGTTCGTCCTGGCCAGGAAGCTGGGAGGCCTCAGGTCACCCGGGGACACGGCTGGGTGGGTGCTGGTGGGTCTCGGCTCTGCACCCACAGGCCTGGGACGACCAGAAACCAGGAGCCTGTGAAGACTTGGCCTTGGGCTCTGGAGGACGCCCTGGGAAGGCTCTGCGGGCCGGGTCCTGGGGAGGACGGAGAGGCCTGGGCCAGGTCCTTGCAGTCGCGACTGGAGTGTGGGGACCCATGGGCGTGCGGGCTGAGAGGGCCCCCGGCCCGCTGGGAGGGGAGAGAGGCCTCACCCCGGAGGCAGGATCCTGTGCGCTCAGCTGTGTCCCCGCGGTCCCGCGCAGGTGGCCAGGACGGGAGAGCAGGACTGGAGGCTGCTGCCTCAGAGGATTGGATCAAGGCTTTGATCTGGCTGCCTCCACCGGGAACACTTCTGGTAAAGAATCTCCATGGCCCGTCTCGCCAGGCTGCTGGCGGCTCGGTCCTCCGGGTGGGGACGCGCCGACCCCACATGCCCTCCTCATGTCGTGAACCTGCCTGAATCTTTCAGAGAGAAGCGGGGTGGAATTCAAGGCCCTGAGTGTTGCTGTGCAGAAGAGCATCGACTGGAACTCACGTGGACCCGGTGGTCTGGGCGGATTCAGAGACAGGAGCCCAGGCCGCCAGCATGCCCTGGCGAACACCAGCCGGGCGGGTCTCCCGGGCTTCCCACTCACCCTCCCTGCCCTGGGTGCCGCCGTCCGGGGTGTGTGTAGATGCCAGGCTGACCCAGACTCCCTGAGTAGAGCTCGAGGGACGGCGTGCTGGAGCCAGCTGCCACATGGGCTAGCCCATCGTGTGGGCACGTGGGGGGCCGGGGCATGTGTGGGGGCTGCGGGTCCATCTCAGTGGCCGGGGCTCCCCCCTGGCAGCTCAGCAGGGCAGTGGCAGCCCGTGAGAGCCAGGCCCGCCTGGAGCGCGGTCGTGGAGCAAGACGGGTGGAGACGGCGGGGTGGGGGGACAAGGCAGGGGTGGGACTCGCCGGAGCCCCTCGTTGGTCCTGTGAGTCTGGCCCCACGGTGGGCTGCTTTCTCCCGACTGTCTGTCTCTCTCTCCGTTCGCCCCCTCTGTCTCTCTCCTCCCTCCCTCTCTGTCTCTGTCTCTCTCCATCCCTTCCTCCCTCTGGCTCTCCACCTCTCCCTCCCCGCCGCCACGTTTTAAAGTTTGAGGGTGAATCCCTCAGCACGCAGCATTTCGAGCTCTGAGAACAAAGGCTTCGCGTCTTGGAAACTGCAGTGGTTTTTCCAGCCACGTGACCGCCAGCTCCCTGAGGGGCCGTGGGTGTGCCGTGCGGGATCCGGGCTGGGCATGCGAGGGCCTCCTGGTGTGGGATCCCGGCTGGGTGCAGAGGGCCTCCCGGGCTGACGGCTGCCTCTGCTCTCTCCGCAGATGAAATCATGCACCAGGACATCATCCCGCTCTGCGCGGCTGACATCCAGGATCAGCTGAAGAAGCGCTTTGCTTACCTGTCTGGTGAGTTCCCAGGGCTGGTGGTGGAGGGGCGTGGGGCCCGTGGGAGCTGGTGAGCAGGTGGAAGCAGCCAGCCCTGGGCCGGGCTGGGCTTGGGGACGGTCGCATGGGCCCCTGGGTCCCCTTTGGTCTAGCTGCGGCTGGATGGCTGTACCTGTCCTGAATAACAGCCCAATACATACTTGTTGGCAAGCAGCCAGTGGCATGTGGTCACTGGACAGGGTGGCGGAGGTGGGCCAGGGACCTGAGAAGGCCGTGACCAGCTCTTCCGACTCAGTCTCCTGAAGCGGGGAGATTGGCCGGCCTCAGCACCCACTGTGCCTCCCTTGGGGCCCCCTCCCGAGCACATTCTGGCAGCCATGCCTCGCCTCTGTCCCGGGTGGCCTCGACCCTGTGCCTGGCACACCTGCGGCCACAGGGCCAACACCACACCAAGGCTCCCACGCCCCCGTGTCCGGGCAGGGGTGCCCAGTCTGTCTCCTTTAGACAAATCTGCCCACCAGGAGTAATTCAGGAAAATGTGCGTCCACATGCACTCTTCTCTGGGTGTCAGGCGGCCCCCTCCTGGGACATGGGGCTCTTTGGGCCTCAGCCTCCGTCCCCCATGAGGCCTGTGTGCCCTGGACAAGGGTTGGCTCCGGGAAGGCCGCCGTACCTGTTTTCCGAGGTTCTCTGTGGACACTCAGGCAGCACTCCGAGTCCCTGGGGCTTTGTCCTAGTTCTCGGGTCCGAGTTGGCAGTTTTCAAAGGCAGCCGGGCGAGGGCCGCCTGGAGTGGGCGTCCTGGAGTCACGCCCAGCGCCACCGGGTCGGGAAGAGGCAGTGTCCCTCCCCGACTCTGCACCAGGGGCCTGCGACCACCGCTCCCCAGTTCACGGTCGCTCTGTGATTCAGACCCTCCGTTCCTAGAACGCCGAGTATCTCAAAAGCTCCTGGCTTTTCCCACAGCTGCTCGACCTGTGGCCCGCCTGGCCTGCCTGGCTGACTGAGGCTCGGGCAACTGAGTTGGGTACGAAGTCGGGAACGTTTCCAGTCAGTAAGCACCTGTCACGTGAATTCTTGGTGATGTCCGTCTTCCTGGGCACAGTCACCTCTCTCGGGCTGACCGTTCTCCTCTTTCTCGGCGAAGGCTGAGGGCCAGGAGGGTGTGTGGAGCCCCGAGCCCAGAAAGAGTGGTGCAACCCCCTTCCCGTGGCGGGTCGGAGCAGGCCCCGGGGAGGCCACAGGCTCGAGCCTCGGTCCTTGCATCTCAGGAAGGCTGCCTGGACTTGCTGATCTGCAGCGGAAGCTAAAAACTGGGCAGAGATTTATGGTGGAGGGACTTCTGGCCTAAGCGAAACACGCCAAGAACAGAGTTGCCACCAGGGAGTACCCCCCAACTGACACGGAGTCCGCTTCAGGGACGTAGAGCCTGTGGTGCCTTGAGTCAGATGACAGCGATGGTCTCCTCCCTCCCCTGCGGTGGCCGCCTCCTTCCCATGGCCCACGCCGCTCCTCGGAATTTCGTGTCTGTTTCACGTGGTGGGTGGAGTGGGGGCACATCAGAGGTTATTCTCGGGGCGTCATGGACCTTCTGACTTCTGAGGGGAGGATTCTGTCCCACACCCAGGCACATCTCCGAGGCATGGAGACGGGGCAGGGTAGGAGACCCCGCTTGCTTCATGGTATTCAGCAGATGGAGACGCGCATGGCCAGGTCCCTGGGTCCAGCGCCCCAGAAGAAAGCTGGTGGCGTTAGCCTCTTTTTCCTCCCCATTCCCAAGTGCTTGCTGCACGAACCCCTCCTGGGCTGCCATCCTCGATGTGCTGTGGGGCTCCATGGATGCCTGTACGGGAAGCCCTGCAAGAGGCAGGCAGGGTGGGGATGGGTCCCGAGCATGCCCGCCACATCGCCAGGGGCTCCGCCTGCCGGGCCCAGGCCCACCTGGCATGCCTCAGAGCTGCTCCCTTTCGTGAGGACCTGGGGGGCACTCGGACCGGAGCTTTTGGTTCTGACACCCACAAGTCAGCTGAGAGACGGGGTCTCTGCTACTGGGGGTTTGCCTGTCAGCAGGAGCCCTGGGTGCTCTGCAGAGAACCAATATAGGGTGCAGAGACACACGACTCTGTTAGATGGGGGAGTGGAGGCACGGGGTCACCTGCCCCTTCTGGGTTTGGGCAAGGAGTCTGATGGTCACATGACGTCCAGTCCGATGGTCACGTGACATCCGAGCCAGTTGCTGTGGTCCGGAGGCTTGTGCCCCTCATCCAGATGTTGAAATCCTCACCTACGGCTGGGCTTGGTGGCTCAGCCTGTCATCCCAGCACTTTGGGAGGTCGAGGCAAGTGGATTGCCTGAGTCCGCGGGTTCGAGACCCGCCCGGGCAACTTGGCGAGACCTCATCTCTACAATAAATAAAAAAATGAGCTGAGTGTGGTAGCGTGCACCTGTAGTTCCAGCTACTTGGAAAGCTGAGGCGGAGGGATCACCCGAGCCCAGCAGGGTGAGGCTGCGGTGGCCGGGAGCGGCCACTGCGCTCCAGTCTGGGCGACCGAGTGAGACTCCAACTCAAAAGAAAAATCCTCACCTCCAAAGTGATCGTGTTGGGAGGTGGGGCCCCTGGGAGGTGACCCGGTCATGGGGTGGAGCCCCCAGATGGGGTCAGAGCCTTCATAAGGGGCTGAAGAGACCCAAAGTCCTCCCTCCACCCTGTGAGCACGCACCAAGAAGACTCTGTGACCCAGAACTGTGAGAAATACATTTCTGCTGTTTATAAGCTACCAGTTCATGATGGTTTGTGGCAGCAGCCTGAGCGGAAACACAAATTGTTGTGAAAAGCCAGTTGTATTGACAAAGGCGCCCTGGAAGTGTGAGTGTGTCTTATCAACACAGTTTCAGAACGCAGCGCCTTCTTGATATTATCTTTGTACTGACACAGGTTTTTGTTTATTTGTTGGGATGTTTCTACCCGGGAGTTAACTCAGGATACAGATGTAAACGCCCATTAATCATGCAAAATTTCCATTCCTAACCACCTGGTGTGACGGTTTTTTAAGATTCAGTGCCAGAATTTCAGGTGTAAAGAAAATCAGCAAAACCACGTTTGGACTGGCACACCTCAAAGAGAAATTGTGAGGATGTGTCGTCTCTGCGAGGCAATGAAGCAGGGCATACTGATGTGTGTGACCACACGTTTAGGGGTGCTTTGGTGACTCGGCTGGGCTGTCGTACACGCCTGCCACCCAGGCATGTGTGTGTGTGCACGTGTGTCTTTGTGTGTGTATCGAGGTGTGTGCTTGGTCATCCTGGCTGCTGTAGCCTAGTGCCACAGACGTGAACCACAGAAGTTCATTCCTCACAGCTCTGGAAGCGGGAGGTCGGGGATCGGGGCCCCAGCACGGCTGTTGTCGGGGAGGGCTCACGTCCTGGTTGGCAGGCTGCCGCCGCCTTCTCACCAAGCCTCACAGGCCGAGTGGGAACTCAAGCTCACAGGCCTCTTCCTATGAGAGAAGGGACATGGACTCTGGCTCACCAGAGCTCCCTTGTGCGGCCAACGCCCCTCCCAGAGGCAGACTTCCAGGTAGCGTCCCCTTGAGGGGAGGGCTGTAGCAGAGGATATCTGGGGAGAACAGACATTCCGTCCATAACAGCATGTGTGCACGTTTATCTGTGTGTATATTTGTGTGCATATGTGTGTACAGTCTTATAGGTGTGTGTGTGTGTGTGTGGGCAGGTATGTGTGTGCGTGTGTGTGTGTGTGTGTGTGTGCGTGCGCGCCCCACTCCCTCTGTATGTCGGAATGAGAGGCGTGTCCCTGCCCATGGTGCCCGGCTCACGAGGGCAGAGCCTGTGGGAGCCCAGGCAGCTCAGTGTGTCTCTCCTAACCTGACTTCGTGTTCGAGGCCGTGTTTTGTGAGAACAACAGACGTTCTTTCCGAGACCGAGTCGTCCATCGTAGGCTATTTCTTGCTTTGTATTTGATCCAGCTTGGCGGTGTTGTTCTGTTCAACACGGTCGGTGCATAATTGCCCGAAAGCCTTCGGGAAGCCAGCCTGCAGGTCCCAATCGGACGAGTTGGCTACCAACGGGAAATCGTCCCGACTCAAACAACGTCTGCGTGAACAACGTTAACACGAGATGGCGCGAGAGCCATACCTCTCATGGGTGACAGAGATGAGAGGCAGGGCTGCAGCCCTTCCACCGCCCTGAGCGTCGACTGGCGCGAGAGTTGACACGCAGATGTAGCAAGTCCCAGCCAGGATGGCGATTTTCGGGTGCAGGCGGTGGCTGGGGCTGTTTCTGGCACCGTGTGAGCAGGGTCCTGTTTCGACCCACACGGAAGGAACTCCAGAGCCCTTTGTCCTCTGAGGCAGTGTAGGACACTCCGGTGACTGACCAGGTGTAGCCCAGAGAATGACACCTGTTCTCGGTGCTGTGGCCCCACGGAATCCTGGGGCCGCCTACCTGGTGTGGAGATTTCTTGGGGAGCGGGTGAGAAGGATGTGCCTCGACCCCGGTGGCAGTGGCTGGTTTAGCTGCCACATCGCCTAGAGGGGCTGGGAACTGGGGGCTTGCTTTTGGAGTCCCAGTGAAAAGACGGAGATTTCCTCTCGCCTCCGGGAAGAACAGCCTTTGGTTCCCCACGAAGGCTGCAGCGAAGCACAGAGGACGGGGGTCCCAGGGGACAGCAGCCCTCAAGACCAGCACTGTGGACCCATGGCCAGGCCTGCGGCCCTGGGTAGGCTTTGGCCTCGGGACACCTGGCCTTCATGGCTAGGCACCTGTGGCTCCCCAGACCTTCCTCTGAGGCCGCCTGGCCCTGGACCGCCCTGCTGACCAGACCCCTGGCCCCATGGCTCACGGCTTGGCTCTGTGGTCTCCAGCATCCCTGGCTCCTGCATGGCAGCAGCACCCAGACGCCACCTCCATGCTGAGGAGGACAGCCACCGTCCACCCTGTGTGTCCACGTCTGCTCTGAGACTCCCCGCCTTCTCACCAGCTCTGTGTAGCCGCTCCTGCCCCTCCTTGGGACTGATCCCCAGGCTCCCGACCCGGCCCCTCGGCAGCCAGCTTCCTCCCGAGAGGAGCAGCTTCTTCCTTTCCCCTTGACTGGGCCTGGGCAGGGGCCCTCATGCGTGGCCTGTGGCCATCTGCATGGGGGATAGGGGTCTCACACGCCCTCTGGAATTCCTAGGGAAACCGAGCTCAGAGCATCCATCCTTCAGCTGTTGTTGGCTTTGCTCAATATGCAGAGGCTTCCGGTCAATGCCCGAATGTTCCCAACAAGTCTGGGTTTCGGGAAGACAGCGAGCAGGTGTGGCTCCGACTGTCTTCGCGACACACCTTGCGCCAGGGTTCCAGGCTCACCGCGGCCTGTCTCGGCAGGATCCTCTTACCAGCAGAAACGTGAGTGAGTTGGAGTGTCGTGGTTCTCCAGGAAGCTGAGGCCTGGGAGAGCCATGTCCTAAGGGGCTTGAAGCCCCCACCTCCGTAGCGTCTGAGGAAGATTTGTCCTTTCACACAGGACACCCAAACAATGGCCCCAGTGTTCGCTCCGTGGCCTCTTGTCATTAGAGGGTCTGAGGAATTTTCTAGGAGGAAGGAAGAGTTAAAAATGATGAAAGGCTTGTGAGTAAGTAAAAGGCCGTGGCTGTTCGGGACTGCAGGGGCCCTGTGTGCCGTCCGGGGTGGGGCGGGAGGTCGAGGCCTTGAGAGCCGGGAGGGTCGAAGGGCAGGAGATGCTGGGACTGAGAGCAGCAACACGGGAAGACTTGGTTAGAGTTAAGAGTCACAGAGACTGAGCTGTCGGAAGGGATGGGGGTGGCGGGGAGGAAGGCTGGTCGTGGATTGTGGACACGGCCTGGCTCAGCATCCCTGGGCCTTGGCAGCTGGTGGGGGCGGGCGGCATGCGCCTCGGCCCGGGGAACGAGGGTCTCGCCGGGGAGAAGAGGTGCACTCCAGGGAACTGGTGACCGAGAATGGGGAGCGGTCTCGGCCGGTGACGGACCGGGTCCCGTGGAAGGGACCAGACTGGCTCCATGGAGGGACTTGGGAGGACGTCAAGGGAGCCCCGTGCTGAGGAGAGGCCCATAGGGCCAGCCTGGGGTGGCAGAGCAGCCCTAGGCCCCGGAACGGCCAGATGGCGGCCCTGAGTGCCGTCCAGGGGCAGGAGCACGTCCGAGGGCGTGGCCAAGCCCGAAGCAGGAACTCCGGGAGCTGGAGACAGCGGATCGTGGGGGGACCGACCATGATAGTACACAAAGCCACTGCTGTGCGTGGCCTGCCATGGGTACCTGGGCCTTCGCGGTGAGGACACGGAGGAAAGACGGCCGACCCGCGATCTGTTCTGTGTAGCAAGCTACCCGGAACTCATCTAGCTGGGAGCGACCCCCCATGCTACCGATTTCTTCTCTATTTGGTGGGCCAGGAAATAGGACAGGGCTCAGCGGTGTGGTTCTTCCCTCCACAAGGTACTGGCTGGGCCATCTGCTCAGCTGCACCTAGGTGGGGAGCTGAGCGGAACAGCCTGGGGCCGTCACACCCTCCCCACCCTTTCAGGCAGCCTGCCCCCCCACCCGGGCCATGACACTTGGGCCTCCTCACAGCAAGGTGGGCGCAAGACCATGGGACTGCCTCCACCATGACTCCTGGGCTAGGAGGGGTGCCTGAGCGTCAGGAGGAGTCACACGGCCTTAAACCAAAATTGGTCTCAAGGCCAGACTCGCCATCAAGGGGAGGGAGGTGGACTCCGTCTCACCAAGGGGAGCGTCCAGTCCAGGGGATGACCTGGAGGCCAGGCTGAGGTCCGGGTTCCTATGGGGCCCTTCAGAAGGGAATTGCTTAAAAACTGGAGTGTTGGAGAAGCTGCAGAATGCCCACAAACAGAACAGTTGGACACGTCATCTGGGCACAACCCTGCATGGACTATTTTGCAGTATTTATAATAACGTCTATGCCATTTAAAAAAAAATTTTACTTCAAAGATATGGGGTACAATTCAGGGCTAGGGATACAAATGGGCATTGTACAGGTAAAGTTTGGGCCACACTTTGGTCTCCACATCAGTCCCTTTCTTACAGTATCATCATTGTTCAGGGTCCGCTTATGAGTGAGTACGTGTGGTGCTCAGTTTCTTGTTCCTGGGATTCATCCCTCAGTGTTGTAGGCTCTCAGTCCATCCAAGTTGCTGCAAAGTTCATAATGTTTTCCTTCTTTAAGGTACCATTCCATGGTGTATGTGTTCCATATGCCACTTATTTATTTATTTGTTTGTTTGATTGTTTTTTGAATCAGAGGCATGCTCAGGTGATCCTTCTGCCTCAGCCTTCCAAGTAGCAGGAACTACAGGCACGTGCTACCATGCCCAGCTCATTTTTAAAAATTTACTGTAGAGACCAGGTCTCACCAAGTTGCCCAGGCTGGTCTTGAACCCCTGGGCTCAGCAATCCTCTCGCCTCCGCCTCCCAAAGTGCTGGGATGACAGACTTGAGCCACCGTGCCCAGCCATATGTCATTTATAAAGCATAGAAAAGGACTTTCCCAGTGTTTAGAAGGAAGCCGGGTGCAAGCTTGTGTATGTAGTGTCATCTCAATTAGATTAAAAATGCATAATGCCAGGTTGGAAGGAAATATGACCCAAGTGTTCCTATGGCTGCACATGGTAACAAATACTGAGTGAGTATTTCAATTTGTCTCACTTTTTTGTACAGTCCAAATGTTTTCTTCAATAAGCATGCATTTTTATAATAAAATTATGTAGCAGCCGGGCTCGGTGGCTCAGCCTGTAATCCCACGCCTTTGGGAGGCTGAGGTGAGTGGATTGCCTGAGCCTGAGGGTTCGAGACCCGCCCAGGCAGCAAGACCTCATCTCTACAATAAATCAAAAAATCAGCCGGGCGTGGTAGCACATGCCTGTAATTCCGGCTACTCAGAAGGCTGAGGTGGAAGGATCGCCGGAGCCCTGCAGTTCGAGGCTGCGGTAGCCGGGAGCAGCCGCTGCACTCCAGTCTGGGTGACCAAGTGAGACTCTGACTCAAAAAAAAAATTATGTAGCAATGAAGAATACTTCTCAGCTGGAATCCTTGGTACTTGTGAGAAATGACTGATGTCCTGTTGAGGGACTCGTAGGGCGCTCCAGAAGCCCTTGTGTTCAGAGCCTGTGTGTGGTCTCTCCTCAGGTGGGCGAGGGCAGGACGGAAGCCCAGTCATCACCTTCCCCGACTACCCAGCCTTCAGCGAGATCCCGGACAAGGAGTTCCAGAATGTCATGACCTACCTCACCAGCATCCCCAGGTGCGTGAGTGCAGACGCCGAGCAGCCCTGCTGCCCAGCACTCTTGTTTCCTTAGAGAGGGGTAATCAGCATTGAGATCCCCCGATGACTGTGGAAAGTGTGAGCCTTGGTAAGGTTCACACCGTCGTCAAGTCCCCCGGTGACTGTGGAAGGAGTGAGAGTCTTTGTGAGGCTCACACCATCATTGACTGTGAAGGGGTGAGGCTTTGGCATGTTCACACCATCATTGAGTTCCCGCAGTTACTATGGGAGAGATGAGATTGTTGGTGAGGTTTATCCCATCACTGAGTTCCCCAACGAGTGTGGAAGGGGTGAGAGTCTTTGTGAGGTTGACACCATTGTTGAGTTCACCTAATGACTATGAAAGGGATGAAAAGTGTCTTCGTCCATCCTTGAGTGCCCCCAGTTACTATGGAAGGGGTGAGAGCCTTGGTGAGATTCACAGCATCATTGAGTTCCCCAACAAGTGTGGAAGGGGTGAGGGTATTTTTGAGGTTCACACCATCCTTGAGTTCTCCCCTGACTGTGTGAGAGTCTTTGTGAGATTCGCACCATCACTGAGTTCCCCCCATGACTGTGGAAGGGGTGAGAGTCTTTGTGAGGTTCACACCATTGTTGAATTCCCCAATGACTGTGGAAGGGGTGAAAGTCTATGTAAGTTTGACGTCATCGTTGAGTTCCCCTAATGACTATGGAAGGATGAGAGTCTTTGTGAGGGGCACACCACCATTCAGTTCTCCACTTACCGTGGAAGGGGTGAGAGTCCTGATGAGGGTCACACCGACATTGAGTTCCCCCAGTTACTGTGGAAGGGGGAAGAACTTTGGTGAGGTTCACACCATCATTGAGTTCCCCGAGTGACTGTGGAAGGGGTGAGAGCCTTTGTGAGGTTTACACCATCATGGAGTTTCCCAACACATGTGGAAGGGGTAAGAGTCTTCGTGATGTTACACTATGGTTGAGTTCCCCCATGACTATCGAAGGGGTGAGAAACTGTGAGGGTCACACCATCACTGACTTCCCCAGTGACTGTGGAAGGTGTGAGAGTGTATGAAAGGTTCACATCATTGTTGAGTCTCCCTCCATTACTGGAAGTGGTGGGAGTCTTTGTGAGGTTCACACCATTGTTGAGATCCTCCAGTGACTATGGAAGTAAGTGAGAGTGTTTGTGGGGTTCACACCATTGTTGAGTTCCTAATGACTGTGGAAGGGTTGAGAGTCTATATAAGGACACAGCATCATTCGTTCCCCAGTGACCTTGTGAGGTTCACACCGTCATTGAGTTTTCCAGTGATGTGGAAGTGTGAGAGTCTATGTGAGGTTCACACCATTGTTGAGTTCCCCAATGACTGTGAAGGGGGTGAGAGTCTATATAAGGTTCACAGCATCACTGAGTTCCCCCATGACTATGGAAGGGGTGAAAGAAGTCTTTGTGAGGTCCACACCATCGTTGAGTTCCCCAGTGACTGTGGAGGGGGCGAGAGTCTTTGTGAGGTCCACACCATCACTGAGAGCCCCCATGGCGGTGGAAGGGGTGAGAGTCATTGTGAGGTTCATATCATCATCGAGTTCCCCCTCGACGGTGGAAGGGGTGAAAGTCTGTGAGATTCCCGCCATTGCTGAGGTCCCCAGCAACTGAGGAAGGGGGCAGTTATTCATTAAACTTCTCCTTTGTTCCCCAGTCTTTAGAATAGTAAGTTATAGGATTTGGGTAACTTGGAGCTCTGGGTTGAGCCTGGCCTGGAAGACGTGGCAACAGCAAATGTGTCACCTGCTCCATGTCGCGTAGCCATCAATTAGCGGCAGTCAGGTCTCTCTAGAGAGTGAGGGAGGAGCGGGGTGAGTGGTAGGTTCCTCTGGCAACCTCGTGGGTGAGAAAGGAACCCCCGAGCTGGGGGAGCCCCCGGGGGTGTGGAGGAGTGAGGGTCTTTGGGGGCAGAGAGTGTGGCTGGGCCAGCAGGGGCCACGTGCCGGGGGCTGGCACCGTCCTGGCGGCCACGGCTCTCCTGTGTTGGGTGTATGGTTTGACCCCAGTCTCTTTCCTTCTGTGAGAATCTCGTTTCCACCCGGTCCAGCCTCAGCGGGCTGAGCTCAGGGCAAGAGGGAGGGCTGGGTCTGGGGGACAAACGGCGGAGGCCCTGAGGCCCCTGAGGGTCTGATGTGACTGGCTTCAGGAGGCGGGGGCTGCAGTGCTACCAAATGCTTCTGGCTATTTCCTCCTTCCGGCCTCGGCATCCTCCTCTGCGGGAGGGCGAGGATTGAGCCCATGATATAGATGAGGCCGCTGAATCCCAGGGCGGCGTCTCGCTTCCAGAAAGCGTCCGGCCGGGGTGTGGGAATGGTCAAAGGCTCAGACCACTCAGCTGTGTCCCAGGGACACAGGCTGTGGCGTTTCTGGACAGGGGCCTTATGGAGAGGGCAGGGACCCCAGGGCTCTGGGCCTTTGTCTGAGGCCTGGCCCGAGAGGAAGAGGCTGCCCTGCCGGCAGGGAGCTGGGCCGACAGCTGAGGGACCCGGTGCACCCCGGCGTGCGTGCCTTCGAGCTTAGCGGGGCCCCTTCCTGTCTGCCGACCTTGAGGAGTCCCTTGGGATCCATACCTCGTGTCCTGAGATGTCCCCGGCTGGACCCGGCCGAGCTCAGAGGCTGTCAGCGCCCCAACCGCATGGTACACCCGTGAGCTCCACCGTGTCCGTCAGGCTGTTCCAGGCCTCCGCGGCCTCCTTTCTCCCGTCTCGCTTCTCTGTCCGTTTCTTTCCTGAGATCCGGGAGGCTGTGATTCAGACTTCCAGAGGCCAGGACTCACCCCTGGCCCCTCCGTGGGGCTCATGCCTCCGGGCACGGGGGCACTCCCACCCGCAGAGCCCAGCCCGGCTGGAGGCAGCCAGCAGCTCAGGCCCGGACTCTGCTGTGGGGCGGGCAGGCCTGGGGTCTTCAGAGGCAGGTCTGTGAGCCCCCAGGCTCGCTCACAAAGGACTCGGCCCAGCGCGTTCCTTGCCCACCTGGGATGGAAACGCAGGCTCTCCCGCGGCTCCTAGACATAAGAGAGGGAAAGAGTCCTTTCATGTCATGGAATAGTCCAAGTCAGACACAGGGATGCCAGCGCCGGTCGTAGAGCCTCACTCGCCGTGGGCCTTCTCCCGGACCACGTGTGGCGCCTTCCGACTATCAGGGCCTCGTCCAGGCGCCTGCCCTGCGGATGTGTCTCCTCCACCCCCACCTCCACCCGTGTCGCCTTCCTGTTTCAGGCCTTTTGCACACACCGTCCCTCTGCCTGGGTCCCCCTTCCTGCCTCCTCCTCAGGGCAGCTCTCCCTCACCACCCGCCTGCGGAACGAGGCCCGCCCCGCACCCCGGGCACCCTCGCCCATCCCTGGCTTGCTGGCTTCCTGGGACCGTGGCCTGGTCGCCCTTGTCTTGCGCCTGGTTTTGGCCTGGGGTAGCAAGTTCGTGCCTCCCCAGGCTGCACTTGCCGGAAGATGAGCACCATCTGCAGACAGAGTCGCACGGTGGCCGGCCTGGGGGCGAAGCCCACCCGCACTCTGCCCAGCATGCCCAGCCCGCCCTGCCCCCTGTGCTTGTCGGGACGGGTGGCCTCTGCCTTCCTGGCCTTCCGATGTTCAGGGGTCCTTCTCCCCGGCAGCATGACCCTTGCCGAAAGCTCAGCCCCCACGCACACGCACGGGCTCAGAGGCGGGCAACGCAAGTTCCCACAAGGCAGGGCTACCCACTCGTTGGGGACGGGGTGCTCGCTGTCAGCCGTGAGGCCTGGGACATGCGAAGCTGAGAACAGTCGCTCCGTGTCCAGGGTTCGTGTGGGAGGGGACCCGTGTGGGCCTCGGGGTGTGTGTGGCGTTTGAGGGGGGGAGAGTGTGGTGTGTGGGAGGGTGGTGTGTGAGTGTGTGCACGAGTGAATCTGTGGGCTGTGAAGTGTGTGTGTTGTGTGTATGGTGCGAAGTGTTGGTGCATGTGCTGAGTGGTGCATGTTGTGTGTGTGTGTGGTGAGTGGTGCGTGTCATTTGCAAGGCATGTGTGTGGCATGTGTGTCTCACCGCGTCCCCCTTCCTCTGGCGTGTGGCCCGTGACCCCTTGTCCTGTCTGGAACCTTCTGAGCTGGCAGCACCCGCCAGTTCCTGCTGGAAGACCCTGCAGCCTCACCATCTCTCGGGGAAGGGGTTGTTGGGACTAGCAGGGTTGGCGGTGTCAGCTCGCGTGGGTTTCTGGGACGCAGGGGCCACAGACATGCTGTGCAGATGAGGGGTCCAGCCATGCACCCTTCTAGAAGAGCCACTGTTGGAAGGCCACCTTCCCCACAGGCTCCCTGGATGGGGCGGAGGGCGTTAAAACGGGAGCCATGTGGCGACCAGGGAGACGGGGTCCTGCAGGCCTCTCAGGTGCCACAGGGGTCCCCCAGAAGGCGTCCATGTGCAGGACAGCGACACACAGGATGTGCACGTCCTCAGCCCTAGCCCCCGGGGAAGGTTCAAGGTGCCTCTACCAGGAAAGGGCGCTGCTCTCTGGCGGAGATGGGGAGATTGCTCTGGTCCTTGGATCGCACGCCCAGGAGTCCGCAGGAGATGGAGGGGTCTCCAGGGAGAGAGAGACCCCGTGCAGGCAGCTTATCTCTGAGGAGCGTTCAGACAGCTGGCAGCTAGCACATCTAGGCAGGAAGAGGGAGACTAGGGCAGCTGTGATCCTGTAAACGTCAGCTAAGGGCCAAGGGACCCAGCCCTTCAGAGACAGGAACAATGACTCTTTTAAAAATTTTTGAGTCGCGGTCTCGCTCTGTTGCTCAGGCTGGAGTGCTGTGGCGTGATCACGGCTCACCACGGCCTCGACTAGTTGGGCTCAGGGATCCTCCCGCCTCAGCCTTTTGAGTAGCTGGGAATACAGGTACACGCCACCACACCATGCGAATTTTCTTCTTTATTGTAGGAATGAAGGCTCACTGTGTTGCCCAGACTGGTCTCAAACCCCTGAGCCCCAGTGATCCCCCTGCCATA